ATTGCATTACTCCTCCCCTCCCCCATATAAGGGCTGTCCTCATTACATAACCCCTCCCCCCATACGAGGCTGTCCTCATTATGTTTATCATTTTATTCTCCTTTTGTTCCATAACCTGGCCCCTCCTTACATATAACTCCTCCTCTTGTTCCATAACCTCGCCCCTCCTTACATATAACTCCTCCTCTTGTTCCATAACCTCACCCCTGGTTACATATAACTCCTCCTCTCGTTCCATAACCTCGCTCCTCCTTATATATAACTCCTCCTCTCGTTCCATAACCTCACCCCTCCTTACATATAACTCCTCCTCTCGTTCCATAACCTCGCCCCTCACATATAACTCCTCCTCTCGTTTCATAACCTTTGCTCCTCCTTACATATAACTCCTCCTCTAGTTCCATAACCTCGCCCCTCACAAATAACTCCTCCTCTAGTTCCATAACCTCGCCCCTCACATATAACTCCTCCTCTAGTTCCATAACCTCACTCCTGGTTACATATAACTCCTCCTCTCGTTTCATAACCTCGCCCCTCCTTACATATAATTCCTCCTCTAATTCCATAACCTGGCCCCTCCTTACATATAACTCCTCTTCTCGTTCCATAACCATACTTATACAGGGTGGGGTGTACTTATACAGGGTGGGGTGTACTTGTACAGGGGTGCGGGTGTACTTATACAGGGTGGGGTATACTTGTACAGGGTGCGGGGTACTTATACAGGGTGGGGTATACTTGTACTTGTAGGGTGGGGTATACTTGTACAGGGTGCGGAGTACTTATACAGGGTGGGGTATACTTGTACAGGGTGGGGTGTACTTGTACAGGGTGCGGGGGTACTTATACAGGGTGGGGTGTACTTGTACAGGGTGGGGTGTACTTGTACAGGGTGTGGGGTACTTATACAGGGTGGGGTGTACTTGTACAGGGTGGGGGTGTACTTATACAGGGTGCGAATACTTATACAGGGTGGGGTGTACTTGTACAGGGTGGGGTATACTTGTACAGGGTGCGGGGGTACTTATACAGGGTGGGGTGTACTTGTACAGGGTGGGGTGTACTTATACAGGGTGCGGAGTACTTATACAGGGTGCGGAATACTTATACAGGGTGGGGTGTACTTGTACAGGGTGGGGTATACTTGTACAGGGTGCGGGGGTACTTATACAGGGTGCGGGGTACTTATACAGGGTGGGGTATACTTGTACAGGGTGCGGGGGGTACTTATACAGGGTGGGGTATACTTGTACAGGGTGCGGAGTACTTATACAGGGTGCGGAATACTTATACAGGGTGGGGTATACTTGTACAGGGTGCGGAGTACTTATACAGGGTGCGGAATACTTATACAGGGTGGGGTGTACTTGTACAGGGTGGGGTATACTTGTACAGGGTGCGGGGTACTTATACAGGGTGGGGTATACTTGTACAGGGTGCGGGGTACTTATACAGGGTGGGGTATACTTGTACAGGGTGCGGGGTACTTATACAGGGTGGGGTATACTTATACAGGGTGGGGTATACTTATACAGGGTGCGGGGTACTTATACAGGGTGGGGTATACTTGTACAGGGTGCGGGGTACTTATACAGGGTGCGGGGTACTTATACAGGGTGGGGTGTACTTGTACAGGGTGGGGTGTACTTATACAGGGTGGGGTATACTTGTACAGGGTGGGGTATACTTGTACAGGGTGGGGTGTACTTATACAGGGTGGGGTGTACTTGTACAGGGTGGGGGTACTTATACAGGGTGGGGTATACTTGTACAGGGTGGGGTGTACTTATACAGGGTGGGGTGTACTTGTACAGGGTGCGGGGGGTACTTATACAGGGTGGGGTATACTTGTACAGGGTGGGGTGTACTTATACAGGGTGGGGTGTACTTGTACAGGGTGCGGGTGTACTTATACAGGGTGGGGTATACTTGTACAGGGTGGGGTGTACTTGTACAGGGTGGGGTGTACTTGTACAGGGTGGGGTGTACTTATACAGGGTGGGGTGTACTTGTACAGGGTGCGGGGTACTTATACAGGGTGCGGGGTACTTATACAGGGTGGGGTATACTTGTACAGGGTGGGGTGTACTTGTACAGGGTGCGGGGTACTTATACAGGGTGGGGTATACTTGTACAGGGTGGGGTGTACTTATACAGGGTGGGGTGTACTTGTACAGGGTGCGGGGTACTTATACAGGGTGGGGTATACTTGTACAGGGTGCGGGGTACTTATACAGGGTGGGGTGTACTTGTACAGGGTGGGGTGTACTTGTACAGGGTGGGGTATACTTGTACAGGGTGGGGTGTACTTATACAGGGTGGGGTGTACTTGTACAGGGTGCGGGTGCGGGGTACTTATACAGGGTGGGGTATACTTGTACAGGGTGCGGGGTACTTATACAGGGTGGGGTGTACTTGTACAGGGTGGGGTGTACTGGCACATGTTGCTGGCTAGAAGCTGATGAGTGGGACATTTGAGTGGAGAGCAGTGTTGCTGGTTCTTGTAGTTGTTTTATTACTTCTTTGCTTACTAAAAGCTTTTACTTCTTTAAATCCCTTTTTCTGTCACTTTTTAAATAGCATTTTTTTTCTTCCTTTCCTTGTCTTCCTTCAGTCTGCTAATTAAGGGGCGGGGCTCATTGGTCCCAGGTGATACAGGTCCTATATAACTTTCTGTAGAGCGCACTCTGAGCGCGCTCATTCTTCAGCTTGCCTGTATTTTGCTTGCTGGACATTTGATAAGTGGAGTGCGATAACCGGAGCTGAAAACAGGAGATTATATCCGGAGTATACTGACCTGTAAGTGACATCTGATATTTCCTGTTATATTGTACCTGGGATATGAGGTGGGGGGGAGGGGTTTGTACAGCGCTGCACACACTGTTGGTGCCATATAAATCCTGTATAATAATGCTGTACCTGGGATATGAGGTCTAGTGGGGTGGAAGGTTTTGTGCCGTGGACAGTGTGCCGCGTGTATGCAGCAATGGAGCAACACCTCTAGGATGGACCCTGTTGGGACGGATCGCCTCGAGGATGGACCCGGCTGGGACGGACCGCCTCCAGGATGGACCCCGCTGGGACGGACCGCCTCCAGGATGGACCCCGCTGGGACGGATCGCCGCCAGGATGGACCCCGCTGGGACGGATCGCCGCCAGGATGGACCCCGCAGGGACGGATCGCCGCCAGGATGGACCCCGCTGGGATGGATCGCCGCCAGGATGGACCCCGCTGGGACGGATCGCCGCCAGGATGGACCCCGCTGGGACGGATCGCCGCCAGGATGGACCCCGCTGGGACGGATCGCCGCCAGGATGGACCCCATTGTGACAGATGAGAAGGTCGCCCTTCTGGAAACTCGCATTACAGATTTGGAGGAACAAGTTGCCACACTGGAGAGAACTGACAACCTGGAAAGGGGTCTTCTGCCCCCTGAGTGGGCAGCTAATGGCATTGGTGTGGAGGGGGGAGGGGCTAATCAGGATCATCAGGTAGGAAGATGGGTTACTGTAACGAGAGGGAGTGGGAGGGGCTCACAGAAAAGGAAGGCCGGCCCTGAGATTGTGCACCCAAACAGATTTGCCAAGTTGGGTGAAGATGTGGGGGTGTCCCCCCCCCCTTTCCCCCAATGTCAGAATGCCCGCCGCAGTCCCGCTATAAGTCGCTGATCACCGACATTGCTAGTTAAAAAAAAAAAAAAAAAAAAAATCCCTGCATCTATCCCGCCATTTGTAGACACTAAAACTTTCACGAAAAACAAATTAATTTACACGGATCGGGATTTTTTTTTTTTTTTTAGCAAAGACACGGAGCGGAATACATTTCAGCTGAAATTTATGAAGACATTAGATTTTTTAAAAAACATTTTTTACTGGACATGTTTTATAGCAAAAAGTGAAAAAAATGGTTTTTATTTTTACAAGGAGGTGAGCAAGATCTTGGACAGAGGGGTGGCGGTGGACGCGGTATACTTGTACAGAGGGGTGGCGGTGGACGTGGTATACTTGGACAGAGGGGTGGCTGTGGACGGGCTATACTTGGACAGAGGGGTGGCGGTGGACGCGGTATACTTGGATGGAGGGGTGGCGGTGGACGCGGTATACTTGTACAGAGGGGTGGCTGTGGACGGGCTATACTTGGACAGAGGGGTGGCGGTGGACGCGGTATACTTGGACAGAGGGGTGGCGGTGGACGCGGTATACTTGTACAGAGGGGTGGCTGTGGACGGGCTATACTTGTACAGAGGGGTGGCGGTGGACGTGGTATACTTGTACAGAGGGGTGGCTGTGGACGCGGTATACTTGGACGGAGGGGTGGCGGTGGACGCGGTATACTTGGACAGAGGAGTGGCGGTGGACGCGGTATACTTGGACAGAGGGGTGGTGGTGGACGCGGTATACTTGGACGGAGGGGTGGCTGTGGATGTGGTATACTTGGACGGAGGGGTGGCGGTGGACGCGGTATACTTGGACAGAGGGGGGTGGCGAGGGACGCTGTATACTTGGACAGAGGAGTGGCGGTGGACGCGGTATACTTGGACAGAGGGGTGGCGGTGGACGCGGTATACTTGGACAGAGGGGTGGTGGTGGACGCGGTATACTTGGACGGAGGGGTGGGCGGTGGACGCGGTATACTTGGACAGAGGGGGTGGCGAGGGACGCTGTATACTTGGACAGAGGGGTGGCGGTGGACGCGGTATACTTGGACAGAGGGGGGTGGCGGTGGACGCGGTATACTTGGACAGAGGGGTGGCGGTGGACGCGGTATACTTGGACAGAGGGGTGGCGGTGGACGCGCTATACTTGGACAGAGGGGTGGCTGTGGACGTGGCTATACTTGGACAGAGGGGTGGCGGTGGACGCGGTATACTTGGACAGAGGGGTGGCGGTGGACGTGGTATACTTGGACAGAGGGGTGGCTGTGGACGGGCTATACTTGGACAGAGGGGTGGCGGTGGACGCGGTATACTTGGACAGAGGGGTGGCGGTGGACGTGGTATACTTGGACAGAGGGGTGGCGTGGACGGGTACTTGGACAGAGGGGTGGCGGTGGACGTGGTATGCTTGGACAGAGGGGTGGCGGTGGACGTGGTATGCTTGGACAGAGGGGTGGCGGTGGACGCGGTACACTTGGACAGAGGGGTGGCGGTGGACGCGGTATACTTGGACAGAGGGTGGCGGGGGACGCGGTATACTTGGACAGAGGGGTGGCTGTGGACGGGCTATACTTGGACAGAGGGGTGGCTGTGGACGGGGTATACTTGGACAGAGGGGTGGCGGGGGACGCGGTATACTTGGACAGAGGGGTGGCTGTGGACGGGCTATACTTGGACAGAGGGGTGGCTGTGGACGGGGTATACTCGGACAGAGGGGTGGCGGTGGACGCGGTACACTTGGACAGAGGTGTGGCGGTGGACGCGGTACACTTGGACAGAGGTGTGGCGGTGGACGCGGTACACTTGGACAGAGGGGTGGCGGTGGACGCGGTACGCTTGGACAGAGGGGTGGCGGTGGACGTGGTACGCTTGGACAGAGGGGTGGCGGTGGTACGCTTGGACAGAGGGGTGGCGGTGGACGCGGTATGCTTGGACAGAGGGTGGCGGTGGACGCGGTATGCTTGGACAGAGGGGTGGCGGTGGACGTGGTATACTTGGACAGAGGGGGGTGGCGGTGGACGTGGTATACTTGGACAGAGGGGTGGCGGTGGACGTGGTATACATGGAGACAGTTCCCCATGCACGATTGCCTCTCGGGGGGTCAGGAAGGAATGTTTCCCCTGCAGGAGCAGATTGGATCGTGCTTTGCTGGGTTTTTTTCCTTCCTCTGGGTGGGGATTAGAAGTTCTTCCCCTTCTTGGGAGGGGGGATGGGGGTAATGGGACTGTTGGGGGGGGGGGGGGTAATGGGAGAGGGGGGATGGTACTGTAAGGGGGGGGGGGGTAATGGGACTAGGAGGGGGTGATGGGACTGGGAGAGGGAGGATGGGACTGTTAAGGGGGGGGGGTAATGGGACAAGGAGAGGGGGAATGGTACTGTGGGGGGGGGGGGGGGGGGTAATGGGACTGTTGGGGGGGGTAATAGGACCAGAGAGGGTTTCTAAACATGGAGGTGAGAGCAGAATTGTGAATCTTCTACACTTGGAGCAAAGTGAGCAATCTCTGCATTCCTGGAGGAGACGATGAGATCGCAGAGAGACGCCAATTCCCACCCACAGTCCAGAGACATTCTGCTGTGCTAATTACTTCCGTCCGTCTGCCAAAGTCACGGAGATTCCATCAATGATTCTCAGCTATAGTAGGCAGAGACTGGGGACATACTAGAGGAGATGATGGACAGAGACTGGAGACATACTAGAGGAGATGATGGACAGAGACTGGAGACATACTAGAGGAGATGATGGACAGAGACTGGAGACATACTGGAGGAGATGATGGACAGAGACTGGAGACATACTAGAGGAGATGATGGACAGAGACTGGAGACATACTAGAGGAGATGATGGACAGAGACTGGAGACATACTAGAGGAGATGATGGACAGAGACTGGGGACATACTGGAGGAGATGATGGTTAGAGACTGGAGACATACTGGAGGAGATGATGGACAGAGACTGGAGACATACTAGAGGAGATGATGGTTAGAGACTGGAGACATACTGGAAGAGATGATGGACAGAGACTGGAGACATACTAGAGTAGATGATGGACAGAGACTGGAGACATACCAGAGTAGATGATGGACAGAGACTGGAGACATACTAGAGGAGATGATGGACAGAGACTGGGGACATACTAGAGGAGATGATGGACAGAGACTGGAGACATACCAGAGTAGATGATGGACAGAGACTGGAGACATACTAGAGGAGATGATGGTTAGAGACTGGAGACATACCAGAGTAGATGATGGACAGAGACTGGAGACATACTGGAGTAGATGATGGACAGAGACTGGAGACATACTGGAGGAGATGATGGACAGAGACTGGAGACATACCAGAGAGAGTAGATGATGGACAGAGACTGGAGACATACTAGAGGAGATGATGGTTAGAGACTGGCCACATTGGTCAGTATGTACAGGAGAGGAGTGTGGAGGGTGTGACTGTGGGCACTATGTACAGGAGAGGCGTGTGGGGGGGTTATGGTGGGCACTATGTACAGGAGAGAGGCGTGTGGGGGGGTTATGGTGGGCACTATGTACAGGAGAGGCGTGTTGGGGGGGGGGTGATGGTGGGCACTATGTACAGGAGAGGCGTGTGGGGGGGTTATGGTGGGCACTATGTACAGGAGAGAGGCGTGTGGGGGGGGTGATGGTGGGCACTATGTACAGGAGAGGAGTGTGGGGGGTGTGACGGTGGGCACTATGTACAGGAGAGGCGTGTGGGGGGGGGGGTGATGGTGGGCACTATGTACAGGAGAGGCTTGGGTAGGTGATGGTGGGCACTATTTACAGGAGAGGCGTGTGGGGGGGGTGATTGTGGGCACTATGTACAGGAGAGGCGTGTGGGGGGGGGGGGGGGTGATGGTGGGCACTATGTACAGGAGAGGAGTGTGGGGGGGGGGTGATGGTGGGCACTATGTACAGGAGAGGCTTGGGGGGGTGATGGTGGGCACTATGTACAGGAGAGGCGTGTGGGGGGGGGTGATGGTGGGCACTATGTACAGGAGAGGCGTGTGGGGGGGGGGGTGATGGCGGGCACTATGTACAGGAGAGGCGTGTGGGGGGGGGGGGTGATGGCGGGCACTATGTACAGGAGAGGCGTGTGGAGGGGGGGGGGGGGGGGGTGATGGCGGGCACTATGTACAGGAGAGGGGGTGTGGGGGGGGTGATGGTGGGCACTATGTACAGGAGAGGCGTGGGGGGGGGGGGGGGGGTGATGGTGGGCACTATGTACAGGAGAGGCGTGTGGGGGGGGGGGGGTGTGACGGTGGGCACTATGTACAGGAGAGGAGTGTGGGGGGGTGTGACGGTGGGCACTATGTACAGGAGAGGCATGGTGGGGGGGGGGTGACGGTGGGCACTATGTACAGGAGAGGCTGGGGGGGGGGGGGTGAGGGTGGGCATTATGTACAGGAGAGGAGTGTGGGGGGTGACGGTGGGCACTATGTACAGGAGAGGCGTGTGGGGGGGGTGACGGTGGGCACTATGTACAGGAGAGGCGTGTTCAGGAGAGGGGGGGGGGGTGATGGTGGGCACTATGTACAGGAGAGGCGTGGGGGGTGGGGGGGGGTGATGGTGGGCACTATGTACAGGAGAGGGAGTGTGGGGGGGGTGATGGTGGGCACTATGTACAGGAGAGGCTTGGGGGGGGTGATGGTGGGCACTATGTACAGGAGAGGGTGTGGGGGGGGGGGTGATGGTGGGCACTATGTACAGGACAGGAGAGGGGGGGGGGGGGTGATGGTGGGCACTATGTACAGGAGAGGCTTGGGGGGTGTGTGGTGGGGGGGTGGTGATGGTGGGCACTATGTACAGGAGAGGCGTGTGGGGGGGGGTGATGGTGGGCACTATGTACAGGAGAGGCTTGGGGGGGGGTGATGGTGGGCACTATGTACAGGAGAGAGGGGGGGGGGGGGGGGTTGTGACATTTCGCAGTATTTCCTATCCATCTCTCAGCATGTAATATCTGCGGCCGCCATGTTTGTACAGATATATACATTTTGGTGTGTGAAGTTGTATACAATAATCGTCATTTATAATGAGCTGTGCAGACTCTTCAGATTTGAGCTTCTCCTCTGTATGAGCAATGTTGGTCCCTGGGACTGATTGTAGAATCCGGGACATTTATCGGGTGTGTGTGTGTGTGGGGGGGGGGAGCCCCGGGAGCCCCTCCATATTCAGTGCATGGTCAGCCTCCTGGCTGCAGTGTCACTGGTTGCTAGGCTGCTGTCAGCGTTTTAGCCAACAGCATCCTAGTAACCACTGACAGCTCCTTAGCAAACCGGTGACAACGTATAGCCAACAGCATCCTAGCAACCATTGACAGGTGGTAGACTGTGGTTGGCGCACACAGCAATGTGGACACACTGGCTGCACTCTGAGCTTTCTGGCCAGACATCGACTTCATCTTTGGTTGGATTTCTCCCTGAATTTCTCATCCGTAGTCACCCACTAAAACAAATGTGTCAGAAGTCCTGACCGAACCATCGCGAGGCTGTCAGGAATTGGGCGCAGGGCTTTCGGAAGGCATCATACCGTGGCAGTTCAGTGAAGCGATTTTCAGGATCGATTTTTCTCTGATCCTTTCTGCTCCTCGCCTTCCTGGCAGCAGGTTTTGTATTGAAGTGTGCTCTGCCTTCTCTGGTGCCCCCTGCTGGCTCTTTATGGGAAGGTTTTTATTCAGTTAGTTGGGAAAAAGACACAAGTCCATGAAGTTCGACCAATAGACAGAAAGAGAACTAAATATATAGAAAACCCCCATATACAGATTCCTGTAGCCACAGGTGATCCATAGGAAGGCAACGACACTTGAATAAAGATGATAGGAAGAAATTATCTGATGGACTTATTGGGGGAGATTTATTAAAACCTGGAGAGTGCAAAATCTGGTGACTGATACTTGGCTAGCCCATGGTCAGAGTTCTGCTCAGCTGGCCCATGGCCACAGACTGATGCTTAGCTGGCCCATGGTCAGAGAGTTCTGCTCAGCTGACCCATGGCCACAGACTGATGCTTAGCTGGCCCATGGCCACAGAGACTGCTGGCCCATGGTTAGAGAATTCTGCTCAGCTGACCCAAGGCCACAGACTGATGCTTAGCTGGCCCGTGGTCAGAGAGTTCTGCTCAGCTGGCCCATGGCCACAGACTGATGCTTAGCTGGCCCATGGTCAGAGAGTTCTGCTCAGCTGACCCATGGCCACAGACTGATGCTTAGCTGGCCCATGGCCACAGACTGATGCTCAGCTAACCCATGGCCACAGACTGCTGTTTTGTTCAGATGGTTAGAGAATTCTGCTCAGCTGACCCAAGGCCACAGACTGATGCTTAGCTGGCCCGTGGTCAGAGAGTTCTGCTCAGCTGGCCCATGGCCACAGACTGATGCTTAGCTGGCCCATGGTCAGAGAGTTCTGCTCAGCTGGTCACAGACTGATGCTTAGCTGACCCATGGCCACAGACTGATGCTTAGCTGACCCATGGCCACAGACTGATGCTTAGCTACCCATGGCCACGTGATGTAGCTGACCCATGGCCACAGACTGCTGTTCAGCCAACCCATGGTTAGAGAATTCTGCTCAGCTGACCCAAGGCCACAGACTGATGCTTAGCTGGCCCGTGGTCAGAGAGTTCTGCTCAGCTGGCCCATGGCCACAGACTGATGCTTAGCTGGCCCATGGTCAGAGAGTTCTGCTCAGCTGACCATGGCCACAGACTGATGCTTATGACCCTGGCCACAGACTGATGCTAGCTGACCCATGGCCCCGACTGATGCTTAGCTGACCCATGGTCAGAGAGTTCTGCTTCAGCTGACCCATGGCCACAGACTGATGCAGCTGGCCCGTGGTCAGAGCGTTCTGCTCAGCTGGCCCATGGCCACAGACTGATGCTTAGCTGGCCCGTGGTCAGAGAGTTCTGTTCAGCTGAGCCATGGCCACAGACTGATGCTTAGCTGGCCCATGGTCAGAGTTCTGCTCAGCTGACCCATGGCCACGACTGATGCTTAGCTGGCCCGTGGTCAGAGAGTTCTGTTCAGCTGACC